CGACCGACTTTAAGTTTATCGTTAAGAAACCGCCGTTTTCAAATTGATAATGAATTGCACTCAAAAAACGCACATATTAACTAACGCACTATAAGAAGAAGATTAAATGAAGCAAATCTTATGTCAAGAAGGCCTGTTTCGGGACCAGAACTTACTAGATGTGTTGACTAGGCTCAAAAGCAAAGGCATGGTCTTAATATAAAATTACAAAAAATGTTAGTGTCTTCTTCAAAAGCGAATATTTCCAACAAAAATAAAGCTAAATCAGATGAACCAAAAGACAAACCATCGAGAAAGGATATATCTAGATGATAAAATATTCCACAGGGTGTTTCAAACGTTCACCAAAATATCAACATTTTGTTTTCCCTCGTATAATTAACAGATGGGAAAGATAAAAGATAAGAAAAGATACTAAAAAGTCAATTTTTTGGCTACACATTGCTTAAAAAATCATCAAAATCGGCCCATTAAAACAAAATATATTAACCTTTAAAATACATCAAAGTTTTAAGGATTTTTTTTTCTAATGAAACAAACCTTTATTTTTTTACTAGAATCCAAAAATCAATTAATATATAGGGCGTTCTGTTACAAAAAACATAACTTTGATGTGTAACTTTTTTTGGGGTCACCCTGTAGAACTCTACATAATTTTAGAAAATGCTTTAAATTACTTTTAAAAAAAAAAATACTTTAATACAAACTTTTGTTCTTGCAAAAACCGCGTCGTATATGACGCGCCACCCTGTATAATTCGCTTTCAATCAAAATTTCAATTATTAGAATATAAGCAGAATATATATAGTTTATGCATTAGATTTATTTATTTCAATAAATTTACTTAGAAAAAGAATTTAAAAAATCAAAAAATTAAGAAGGAAATAATTAAGAATTTACTAAAATTACTAAAATAAAAAATTAAAAGCAACGAAAAAAAATTGAATGAAAAGAATGGCTGGAAACTGGATTCAAGTGGCACAAAATAGAAAGAAATGGCTAGAGTTGAGGGATGTTTTTGTTCAGAAGTGGACGGAATAAGCTAAATGATGATGACGATGATAAAGCATACTGTAACTAAAATAGTGCAATAGTAATATCGCTTTACCACTAAATCATATTTAGCATTTTAATGGCGATGTGATTAAGAAAAAAACAGACGTCATTTTGTGTGCGAATTCTTAACTACTGATTCTTTTAAGCAAGTTTATAATATTGCTATTTTTATAAAAAGGAGTCCACTAATAAAAAATCCAGTCAATTAAAATTAAAACACATAAAAAAGACAGGAAAATCCTTGATCACCTGCACACACTTATACATATTTCTTTCCTGTACTGATAATTTACATATTCAATCTAGAATAATAAGTTATAATTGCAAGTAGTTTACAAAATTTATTATCAAAGTTCGAATACTTAAATTTTAGTCTAATTTTAGAATTATTATAAATGGGTATATTTGAAATGTTAAACTGAAACAAATGTAAGGTAAATAAATGAGATTAAATGAGTTGAATACTAAGAGTAAAAACCAGCATCCGGTAGCACTAAAGTGGTCCATGGACGAAATGATTTGTTGTAGAGTGTTTTCCTTGCAATACAGTTTCCTGTGGACCATTGAATCTGTTGGTAATTTGATCAAACATAGTCTGTGGTTCTTGATTTTGAAGTTTCCTTTATTATGTCGGTATAGTGCGCTTTAATCTAAGTGCATCTATTGTCTATATCGTTGACGGTAATTTAACCAGTTTGTTTATTTATTCTTCAAATTTAAACATATAAAAAACTTATTCATTAATTTAATATTTTATGGTTATTAATTATTTATTATTATATTTTTTTATATTTTGTGGTCTTTTTTGTATTAATACTGAATCATTACCTATAAGTCTTCCTCTGGTTTTGATGTTTCCGGTCACAACCTATATTTATTAGACATCCAATTGATTTACGTCTATTTACATGAAACTTTGCTTACCTACCTAGATTTTCACTCACCAAGACCAAAGGAGTGTTGGTTTTGGTCCAACACTATTCCTGATGATCTCTTTATTATATTATATGGAATCGACAAGAGAGCTAGAGCTCTTTCTCAGGTCTTTTCAAATAGAGCTTTTTTCAAACAAAACTTTCTTTTTCTTAAAGTACAGATTCCTGCGTGGGCGTTCAACTTTTTCTCTCTTATCAGATGGTTCAATTAGTTGTAGCGACTTAGAGTGCTTGGAAGTCCTGTATACCTGTCCAATGACGAATATTAGCCAACCAGGCTTTTCTTCGGCCTATTCCCCTTTTACCTTCTTCTATTTTACCCTGGAGGATTAGACGCTGAAAGAGATAACATTCTCGTAGCTTATCTTGGACGTAGTATACGTCTTAAATAAGCTATTTTTTTCTTTTTGATGATTTCAAAGAGCTCACGTTCTTCTAAACCAGCTCTCCTAAGAATTTCGTCATCTTTATTTCTCACACTTTCGATCTAGGATACTCTCAGTTATGTTTATAGTTGTTACTTTCAATGTCAACAGTAGCAATAGAGGTCATAATAGACCTAACACCACTGCACATTGTCATCGGTAGATGTGCCAATGCGACAATGATTAGAATGGTCATTGACGGAAACAGCACAGGGATAATTGTCAGCTCAGGGACTTGAAACACATTCAAAAAGGAAATACCACTCCTCCAACTCCCAGTGGATACCAAAAATGTAAAACTGAGAAAAAACTCAATGTAGTATTGAGCAATAAAAAGAATTGGAAAAGAGAAACGTTTGCTCAGCAGTTAAAAGGCCATACCATAACTTGGTATACTGATGCTTCCAAAACCAACGCAGGATCAAGGATCGGAGTATTTGGGCCGAGAACTTAATACTCCCATCCAATTGGTACCTACCCCACCCTCCTACCTCCTACACGCAGAAATATACGCTATCGAAAGATGCGTACAACTTATCTTAGATAGAAACTATCGGGAACAAGAAATAACAATCTTATCTGATAGTCAAGCAGCGTTAACTACTCTGGGTTGAGCCCACCATGGTAAAGAGAGGAGCGAACACTCCACCACTGGCTGAGCGTGCATTAGAAGTTTCTAGAGAACCACAATATCTAGATCGGAGATTTTCTGCATTGTTGTTTTACAACAAGATCTATCGATTAAAAATATTTTCAGTATGGCGGCAATTTGACAACAACTTTCTTATTTTAAATGGGTAACCCCCATTTTTTATTACATACTTAAATTCTCTGTAAAATTTTATGAATTTTGATATTAAACACTCTATATCTAACATTAACCGTCTTTGAGAAAAAAAATATTTAAAATTTTTGGACGAAAAAAAAACCTGTCAAAAAAATTTGTCAAATTTAGTGATTACCACAGCCACTGTGATTTAAAGAGAAGACATGTGGCTATTTATTTCAAAAATTAAATTGTTTAAATATCATATAATAATGGTGGTAGCTGTCATGGAATTGAGCGATTAAAAATTATCATAAATCATTTTTTTCAAATGGAAACCCACTTTTTCTAATTCACTAGTGCAAAAGTTTTCCTATTCGTTACTTGTTCAGTATACATGTTTTTATACCTAAAATAAATCGTGTTTAAGTTATTTAAGATTTAGTTTGAAAACATATATTTTTCTTGATTTTATCTAGCTTCCTTTGACATTAAGTGTCAGAAAATTTATTTCCATCTGTCAGAAAACGAACACACACCGGAAAAATCTAGGGATATAATTTTATTAAAGTTAAAAATAAATGTTTTAAATAAACAACCACATATTTGTAGGCCGATTCTTTCTACTTCGATTGAAACGAAGTAGTGTATTTATAAAAATATATCTCGTACTTTCGCTCTTTAGTGATATGTAATAGTTGATATTATTAATAATATACCGTATGATCGAAAAAAAAACAGAGTAAATTTGGCTTGGAAATGATGATCGATAACATACTGCTTTTTGAACAAAGTGTCACCATATGACATGGCCAGATCTATTATTGTTTTCCATCACTTGACGTTTAAAGTCATAGGCTACTGATTAAAATCAAGAAAAATGCACGCTTTAAAACTAAATCTTAAATAACTTAAAAATAATTGATTTTAGGTATAGGAACATGTATAGTCAAAACGTTACGAATTGGAAAGCCTTTTCACTAGTAAAATAAAAAAAGTGGGTTTCTATTTGAAAAAAAAAGGATTTATGATAATTTTTTAATCGCTCAATTCCATGACAGCTGCGGCCATTATTATATGACATTCGAACAATTTAATATTTGAAATAGATAGCCCCATGTTTCTTCTTTATGGCACAGTGGTTGTGGTAATCACTAAATTTGACGTTTAGACTAGACACATATTTTTGACAGGCAGATTTTTTCGGTCAAAAAATTTAAATAATTTTTTTTTTCAAAAACGGTTAATGTTAGATATAGAGTGTTTAATATCAAAATTCATAAAATTTTACAGAGAATTTAAGTATGTAATAAAAAATGGGGCACTCATTTAAAATAAGAAAATTGCTGTCCACTTCCGGTATTTCCGGAAGTGCCGCCATATTGAAAATATTTTTAATTGATAGATCTCATTGTAAAACTATGATATGCAAAAAACCTCCGATCTAAATATTGTGGTTCTCTAGAAACTTCTAATGCACGATCAGCCTGGGACACCCTGTATAACTCGAACAACATTGGAGACAAAACACACCCCTGTCTTACTCCCTCTTTTTAAATCTTTTGTTCTGTAAACAAAACTTCATACGGCAAATAATGCCGTCTATGGACCGGTCCGAACAGACAGAACTGTATCGATATGCCCCCCATCGCACTTCTGCAACGCGCTCTTAATCATCAGCTGTTCGGAATCCCCAAAGAACCGGTGCTGGCCGCCCGGCCGGGTACCCGCCGATAATCACGTGCGTACCACCTGGCGGGTACCCCACCACCGTCTTGGCAGTACCCGATATTACTAATGTGGTGTTTACCTTTTGAGCCGAGATATTGTCAGATTTTTCAGTTTGTTTTTGGATAATTTCGCGACGAGATTGCCCAGAGAGGTGGAGAGACGATTTTTCGAAAAAGGGGAAAAATTTTGCGAAGTGTGAGGTGAAAAAAGCTTCGGTTTTTTGGAGATCTAGATTTTATTTTCTTGTGAAAACATAGAATCAGGTAAGTCTTATTTAGTAATTTTTGAAAAAAAAATAATTTTATTTAAACTACAATAATTAAGTATTTATTGTTAATTATTTCTCTCTTTTTAAGATTAGTATTTATTTTTTAATTAAATATACATATATTTATATAAAATAAAAAATAGAATATTTTTTGAGTACCTATTTAAAAAAAAATGTTTTTTGAAATAATATGAGCATAGCTATATTTATATAATACAGGGTGAGTCTGAAATAAGTGCAAATATTTACGATTTACGAAACACGATAATGATTTTTTTATGAGAAAAAAAAATGATTTTTTAGATAAAAAAAAACAATTTCTTGATAATATGGTGGGTAGTAGATTAAATTTACAAGAAAGAAGTTCTAGAAAAGATCCAGTGGTTCTCAAAATTTAGGAAAAAATCATTTTTGTTCAAAATTTTCAAAGTGAAATATAACTCGGTTATTTTGGACTTATTTTTTGAAGCTGGTTTAGTAGATTAAATTTACAAAAAGAAAACCCAGAAAAGATCCAGTGGATCCCAAAATTTAAGAAAAAAATCATTTTTGTTGGAAATTTTCAAAGTAATATAACTCAGTTATTTTGGACATATTTTTTTGGAGTTTCGATCTTTTATCGAGATCTACCAACCTTGGAAATATTTGCACTTATTTAAGACTCATCCTGTATAAGGTTATGATGAAAGGCTGCTTTGGTGCCTTTTTTCGATCAGACGGTACAATATTTTTTTTGGAATAGATTTATTTAACATTTAGACAGCTGAATATAATTAATTCTTTACTACCACTTCTGAAATAATAAAGAACTTTCATTAATAAGTTTAAAAATAAACTACTCAAAACAATTATCGCATATTTTCCAAAAAAATATTAATTTGAAAAACAAGACACTTTGAATTCCCTGACTTTTAAATTTTATTTAGTATGGATCGGCCGATTAAAAATTGACTGTCAGCGCATAGCCTAAGACAACGAAATGTAATGAAATATTGGGCCGATTGGTTTCATAGGAATGTATTGTTTTCATTTTTGCAACTAAATAGTCGGCCGACTAAAAATTATATGTCAGTGCGTACCCTAATTATCCTTAAAAAACTCACAAGAGAAAGGCAGAAAAATGCATGCTTCATTTAGAAATATGTAATAATTACTTTTATTGACTTTAGGGTGTGATAATGGTTCGATAAGAAGGGATTTTTCGAAACTCGAATTCTAAGGGGGTGAAACTATCCCTCAAATATTAAAATATTTTTTATTTAAAAACCGGTGAGTTTTTCGGAAAAACTCTTAAACACGTATATTTTATTTTGTTGTTTTACATATTTTAAGATTTTTATAAATATATACAGGGTGTTTCATAAAATATAACCATTGAGTAATCACGTTTCTGCTAAAACTGCTTGACGTTTAAAGCTGATTTTTGGCAAACGGATTGACTGTGGGGTGTAGAGGTTCGATAAGGGGGGTTTCTCGAATCTCAAATTTCAAGAGGGTGAAAACGCCCCTCAAATATTACAATATTTGTTATTTAAAAAACGGTTAGTCTTTCGGGAAAACGCTTGGACAAGCATAATTTATTTGGTATTTTTACATATTTTGATTTTTTTTTAAAAATCATACAGCGTGTTCCAAAAAGTTGGGTAATTTCTTAACCACGATTCTGCTTAAACCGCTTGACGTAAAAAGCTTATTTTTGGCCAACGGATTTTTCGAAAGTCAAATTCCAACGAGATGAAACTACCCCTCAAATATTACCAAGTTTTATAATAATATCGCCATATTGTTTTTTCTCCTGCTGACATAAATGTGAGAAAATGTTATCCAGTTTGTATGTTAATGGAAATGCTTGGTTTGCTTTATCATCACCATTACAAATGACCATTACAATTCATCACCACTACAATTCGACGCGAACGAAGTCGCTGGCACACGCTAGTTTTTTTTTTATAAAAAAATACGCACATATATTATATTTATGGAATTTTCGCAAAGATGCGATTCAAGATTATCACTTATAAACATAATTAAAACGCAAGAAGTAGAGTCTTCTAGTCGTTTAAAAAACGACTACAAGAACTATTTGAATATGTTGTAAACATATTCAAATTCAAGATATGTACTCGTATATGTAAAACAAAAGTTAACAACAGAAGAGCTATAATATTCAATATTTTTAACGTTTAAAAATCTTATTAAATTTTAGAATAAACATCTGAAAATATTGAAAGATACTTATACAGGGAGAGTCTTAAATAAGTGCAAATGTTTTTAGGGTGGTATATTTTGACTCCAGAAATAGGATTATGAGTTTTTTTCGAGATTTTTTTTTAAAATATGGAATTGAAATTTTTTTAGTTTTTAAAAAACCTAATTTTTTGATAATATGGCAAAATAGGTAGTAGATTAAATTTACATTAAAGAAAACCCAGAAAAGATACAGTGGTCCTCAAAATTTAAGCAAAATAACTCCGTTATTTTGCTTAAATTTTAAAACAAGAAAGAAGACTTATTTGAAAAACGGTAAAGAGAAAATATGTTACTTTTATCGAGATCTACCAGCCCTGAAAATATTTGCACTTATTTAAGACTCACCCTGTTTATTATAAATATCAAAAAAGTAGGAAGAGGTATGTTTAGTTTTATACTTTTTAAAGTGCTATAAAACTGTTTAACTACAAGATTAGTCAAATAAAGTCTAGAGCACGTGCAGAATGTTTTAAGCTAAAAATTCGGCAATTAATGCTCAATTGCTCCAATAACTAATAGTTCGATAAAACGTGCTCAATCAAATTATGTTTTTAGGTAGAAGTTTTAAACAAATTTTAATAAAGATTTATTAAAAAATGCAAGTAAACGTAATAAAATACATTTTAACTTTAAATACTTAATATAGAAGGAATAAAAATATAATGAAAATATCTAATAAATAATAAGAATATCACGAATTATGTCGATCTTTTTGTGACGAGTTCATTTCTCTTGAAAAATGCGCCATATTTCGTTCCTGAAAAATAAATTTAGTTATATTTTTTGCAAAGCGAAAGCTAGCTTGTCAGTGGCGTTTTAAGCCCCATATTTACTATACGCTGATGCGTTGATTTGATGTGTCCATGTGTCCATGCAAATAGTGAGTATAATGCGGTTCCGCAAAGAGATGCGGCGATGCCGCTCGTCTATGCGATATTCGTTTTTGTATGCGAAATTCGTCCATAGTGTTCGTGATATTTCTTTGGATGGTTCGGACGCATTGGCGCATCAAATCGACACATAACCTTTACGAACCGCATCGATGAATAGCATCAGGGCATAGGGAATGGGGCTTTACTCATAAAATAAATATGCCTGACCAACAAAGAGTGCTGCTTATTGTTTCAGGAGGTATACAAAAAACAAACTCAGGCAAACGATTTTTTGGATTCGGAAAGCAATGATATTTCGGTCCATTCTTTAAGCACTTGGAAGTACAGCAAAGTGCGGGCATGCAATATTTTATTTCACGCAGAACAAAAATAGAATGAAAAACACAACGGTAGCGAATCGTACATCCTTAATAAACCGCTCTAAAAATTATGAATTTTGAAACAAATTCGATAGTTTTCGACAAATACACTTCTTATTTAAAAACAGACACATCGAAAGCTGGAAATAACCGTTGTTTACCTTTTTTACAAAATGACGAACTAAAGAGGGATTTTACATATAGTTCATATCAAATAAACTCTTAGCCACGTGATTAATCTTGACCGGCACAGTGTTCCCACTTTTACATATTTTATTTTAATCAAAATATTTTAGGAAACAAAAATAAATTAATTATAAATATATAAACAGTTATTATTTACATCAACAAAACTCACCTTCTTAACAGCACTTAAGGGACATAAAGGGCCATTACTACCGCTTTCCCGTTCAAAATATTCTAATAAAGTTGCGATGAGTTTTTTACGGCTATTAAGCTATCTTGTACATTTCGCACTAAAAGAGGTTCTAAAAAGAACAATGTTCGACTGCAACGTCTGCTCGTAAACATGTTTAAGCTTAAAGTATCACAATATAATTCATTTAAACCAAAAACTCGCAATACAAAACTAAAATGTCAAAATGAATGACAATGTCAGAAAATAAATAAATAAATGTGGCAACTTGACATTTTTTACAGCAGAGCTACCACCTGAATCCCCGGCGGGAAATTTAAATTCCAGATAATCACTATAATCAGCCAGGCGCCGAATATTTCAATGGTTGGCAACAATGAATTTAAAAATCGCTTTAAAAACTTTATTGATAGGTAATATTAATAATACAAAATAAAAGACAAATCAAGTGTTTTAAAATGTGAGACTGAAAACTATCGCAATTTCCCTGGCTCTAGATATATCACTATTAAAAAAAATGGATATACGCATACCAATTTGTATTATTTAAACAATAACAACATTGCGACGATATACAAGGTCTTTAAATAATTCTGTAAATGTTATAATTAATAGAAGAGTAGCGAGTATAGACATCCAAGACCTTCGTCGGAGGTTAGACAGTGACGTGGGGCACGATTTTACTGAAACAAAACTAGGTTCAACGTCATGCCAATTGCTTTCGTAATTTCTTGTTTTTCTCTCTGTTTTTTTTGCGGGATATCGGATGAATTATTTATAACTGTTATTATATCTATATAGCATATACGTAAGCTTAAAATAGAATGCGTTATTTAATATAAATAATTTAAATAAAGCTCGAAAACGTAGGTATACGTTATTTTTATTCGAGGTTGTTTTGAAATTAAATCAGCTTCGATATAGACGCTTTTAGCTAATTATCGCATTCGTTCTTTGTAGTAATGCCGTTTATTATATATTTTAATTTACCTTTAGTATTGCAAATTAAAGTGTTACTGAATAATATTAAAATTCAATAATATCAGTTGTACAACAAACAAATTGTTACTAATTATTAGAAGAATAGATTTGTTTAATTGTTAGAAGTAATAATGAT